GTCCCATTGCTATTTGCCATTCAACAAAGATAAACAATTTATTAGCTGGGATAAGAGCCATCATTCTGGGCATCATCTATTGAAAGAAATTGTGTAGATCACAATTTGAAACCATGTATGAACAGAGGTTGCTTGAACAAGGATGGTGAATAATGCCACTGTGTGAAAGACAGACTTTCTTTTACTTAATAGCCAATACTTTCCCTCCCTCAAACTGCTTCTCCTTTAGTTGGGTAACAGTGTGCCTGTCACAGTGATTCCACATCTGTGGCTCTGTGGTTGGGTAACTGAAGCAGTGTTCGCACAGAACTGTGACGGTTTCTACACACTTTCTCACATGGCATAGAGCAGCAGATACTCACAAACATCTGTTACCCAAGTCGGTGTGAATAAGCGATTCCTGGAAAACCCATGATTTGGGAATTTGTTGATTTCTTTTCCACATAATGGCTATCAGAATAGGGGAAATGAAAGTTTGGGTGGAAAATCCAAAACTTATTAAAATCAAGATAATATTTTATCTGAGTAAGAAATTTTGAGATCCAAAAGGATGGAAATATGTGGTGAATTTAAGAAGATGTAGTTTAATACTTAGCCATGCACTTTCCCAAAGGAAGAGAAATGGATTAAATCAAGCATTTATAAATATAGGCAAATTTTACTTTACCTGTGTTATACTTGTACAAGAAAGGCTAATAAAATTCTAGAGGACCTCAATAGAAGCATACAAAAATAAATAAATAACAAAGTGAAGCAATCATTTCACCCTGTTATGAAGTCACACCAGAACACCATGAGCGACCTGCCCAGTTTATAAAGAGACCCAGGAGAGGGCTGAGGTGGTGAGGGTTAGACACCTTGGCATCAGTGAGGTCTGTCTGTCTTGGTGGTGGTGTGGGGTGACGTGAGGGGGTGTGTTGGAGGATGCTAGCTAATACCCAAAGGCCTTTTACATTGACTGGATGGTAGCACATATTCTGACAGCTCTGGGAAATGGAACCAGAAACAGTGTAAAGAAGCTTCAAAAGGACCTGGTGAGTTCAATGTACGAAAGAACTTTCTAGCAGAGCTGCTCCTTTAGGGACATGGAGGATATTTCTCACTGACTTATTGTCATATTGATTTAAATGAGTCACAAGTTTTCCCTTTAACTCTGTGGCTTTGGCTCATATGGAATATTGTAAAATAAAGTTGACCCCAGAGTGTCAATTGTTAAATCAACAGTTGGAGTCACTGTGCACCTGTTCCCTTAATGTGTTGTACTATGCGAATTAACGCATAGTAAAATTACTACTCAAACAGTACTCTATACTTTGTGTGTCTTTGTGGGTGCAGTCTGTTGAAATGTTTACTTAGTATATACTAAGTTGATCTTCTGTATATAAAGATAATTGAAAATGAATCGTGATGAAGAATGGGATTGGAGAGGGAGTGGGAGATGGGATGGTGGCAGGTGGGAGGTGGGTTATGGGGGGAAAAACTGCTATAATTCAAAAGTTGTACTTTGAAAATTTATATTTATTAAATAAAAGTTAAAAAAACACAAAAAATAAAGTTGACCTCATGACAGAAGAGAAATGTAGTTTGATATCCCTAAAAGTAGATGGCCATCAGTATGTGCACCTTCCAATTTCACAAGGGCCTATAGAGCAAACAGGCAGCTGTCCAAGGTGCTGCAAGGAAGTGCTCTGGGCAGGTTTGCCCATCACGTTTGCTGTTTGTTTTAATGCTTGCTCGCTTTTCAGCCTTTCTGTTCTTATATAAATCTACACCCTCATTCCACATACAAAAGCACAGAGAAAATTGCCTAGGAAATGTGTGAGAGCTGAGGCTAAACTACTACCTGGGACTTCCTCTGCTCCATCCGAGCGCTGAATGAATCCATTTCACATTCAAAGGTTTGCCTTGGTCTCTCAAGTTGAATTGTTTGGACGGAAATTTATAGTAGCTGCTACTTATCCTGAAGCAATTGTAATTATTTGACTTTTGGTATCTTCATTTTATGCTTTCTGCAGTGTATACATATCCTGAAAGGAGATAAGAAAATTATGTTCATGGTGTGGTAGAAGGAATATTAAATATTCCAGCTGAGGCCTTACTTACACCCAGGATAAGTGTGGTGGCAATAAGCTATCCTGTTTTGCACTCTCTATTTGTGTTGCCATTCCTGTGTTATCTAATTTTTTGGTCACTTAATTGTTTTGCTATCTATAAAGTGGTGATAACAATAGCAACATCCCTTAGAGTTCTGAAAATAAGGTAAGTTAACACATGTAAAGAATCTCTAAGAACACTAGATGCATACATAATTAATACTACAGCTATTATATATTATAGTGAGAATCCTCTATTATATTTGATAATCTGCTGGAAAACCTTATAAGATACAGAAAATTGTTATACCCAATGATGGATTATTACAGCAAAAACACACTGACTAAAATCAGAAAGGAAGAAAAGTGCACAGGATGGAATTCCACTCCTCAAATGGCCACAAGGGCTGCCAGAGCTGGGCTGGACTGAAGCCAGGAGCCAGGAACTTCTTTCAGGTCTCCCATATGGATTCAGAGAGGTCCAAGTACTTGGGGCATCCTCTGCTGCTTTCCCAGGCACATTAGCAGGGAGATGGATCAGAAGTGGAGCAGCCAGGAATCAAACAGTCACCTACATGGGATGCTGGCACTGCAGGGGGCAGTTTAACCTGCTATGCCACAGCCCTGGCCCCGTGAATACTTTTTTAAAGAATGTGAGGCTGGCGCCACAGATCACTAGGCTAATCCTCTGCCTGTGCCGCTGGCACACTGGGTTCTAGTCCTGGCTGGGGCGCCAGATTCTGTCCTGGTTGCTTCTCTTCCAGTCCAGCTCTCTGCTGTGGCCTGGGAGGGCAGTGGAGGATGTCCCAAGTGCTTGGGCCCTGCACCTGCATAGGAGACCAGGAGGAAGCACCTAGCTCCTGGCTTCAGATTGGCGCAGTGTGCCGGCTGTAGCGGCCATTTGGTGGGTGAACCAATGGAAGGAAGACCTTTCTCTCTGTCTCTCTCTTACTGTATAACTCTGCCTTTCTAAAAAAAAAAAATAAAGAATGTGAACATAATGAGTATCTACTACACATGTAGCTTTTGTAATTTTTTTCTGTAGGTTGGAAAATGGCTTCAGATTTAACACGTTATAACATGTGTTAAAAAAACACATAAAAACACATCCGAAATTGAGGATTCCTTTCACTACCATTGTAATAATGATGATAAAAGTGTTCCACAAATTCTAACTATAATTCTATGCCAAATGCATTCTATCATTAGTTCTAATCCTTATAAACAGATGTGGGGAGTATCCAAGACTTTTATTTTTATAGGAGAGAGATTAATGATCTAGAGGATTTCCCAAAGCCCTCCAATTGCCCAGCCAGTCTTCCAAGGGGCAGAGTCTGATTCGAAGGCTCTAGGTCTTAACATCATCCATGGTAGTTGCTGAGATTCTGGGAAACAAAGTGATTAAAAAGCACACTGAGGGGCTGGCACCTTGGCATAATGAGTAAAGTTGTTGCCTGCAGGGCCAGCATCCCATATGGGTGCTGCTTTGAGTCCTGGCTGCTCCATTTCCGATCCAGCTCTCTGCTATGGTCTGGGAGGGCAGTAGAAGATGGCCCAAGTTGTTGGGACCCTGCACCCACGTGGGACACCTGGAAGAAGCTCCTGGCTCCTGGCTTCGGATTGGTGCAGTTCCAGCCAATGCGGCTAATTGGGGAGTGAACCAGCGGATGGAAGACCTCTCTCTCTCTCTCTCTCTCTGTAACTCTGCCTTTCAAATAAATAAATAAATATTTTTTAAAAAAGTACACTGAAACATGGAAAATCCAACAACATTTATTTGACTTGAATCATCTCAAGATCCACAGATGGGGAGGGCATTTGGCCTAGTGGTTAGAATGCTTGTGTCCCACATCAGAATGCCTGGGTTCGATTCCTGGCTCCAGATTCTTATTCCTGCTGTCCTGCTAATGCACACCCTGGGAGGCAGTGGTGAAGGCTCAAGTGGTTATGTCCTAGCTTCTCACACATGGGAGACCTGGATTGAGTTCTCCTCTCCTGGCTTTAGCTCCAGTTGTTGTGAATATTGTGTGGAGTGAGCCAGTGGGTGTGATCTCTATCTTTCTCTCAGATAAGTAAAAAGAAAGAAAAAAGAATCAGAATCACTGAATGATTTAAAATAAAAGATTCAGAGATGGGCATTTGGTCTAGTAGTTAAAGATACTGCTTGAGATGTCCATGCCTAGGTTGGAGTTCGGCTTTGCTCCCAATTCCAGCTTCGTGCTAGTGAACACCTTGGGAGCATCAGGTGATGGCTAAAGTAGTTGGGTCTGGCATTTGGTGCAGTAGTTAAGTAACTGGGTCCCTATTACGTGGGATACCCAAATTGAGTTCTAGGCTCTTGGCTTTGGCCTGGCAAAGTCTCAGCTCTTTCCTGCATTTGGAGGAATGGACCATTTGATGAAAAGATATCTCTCTGACTCTCTGTCATAAGTAAATTAAAAAATTAAAAGGTAGTTGAGTTCCTGCCACCCATGTAGGAAACCTGGACTGAGATCCTGTTTCCTAGCTTTGACTGATCCAGTTATTTTGGGCATTCAGGATGTGAACAAGAGGATGGGAGGTTTCTGTCTGTTGTCTGTCTGTAAAATAAACAAAATAAAGAAAACCTAAAGAAAAATCCATGGAATATTTAGACACTGAGGCAGAATTGTGGCTGGAATGTTGTGCCCTTCCACCAATGTAAGAAATTCTAGCAAAGATTCCAAGATTCTAACACACCTTTCTCCATAAAAATGTCAAATAGGAAACACCAGTAGGTAAAACAGAGACATAAAAGGGAAAACAATTTTGTAGTTGAGTGTCTTGATTAAAAAGGTGAATAGACAATTGAAATACCTCCCCCAGTTTTCAAAATTATTGCCTCCATGAATTGTTTGTAATTGTGTCTTTTTCCTCTCCCTTTTCTAGATCTCAGTCTGTGGTTGAAGCCGGGACCCTGAAACATGAGGACAAGGGAGAGAATGAGAACACTCAGCCACTCCTGGCTCTGGACTGAGCCATGAGCCACCCTGATGCTCCTGCACACCGGCCTTCAGTGGTATCAGTCAACAAGGGAGCATATGTGCAACCGACCCACACAGACACGTGCCATCCGCTTGACGCGAGGCCCTCCACTCCTGACCCCCAGCAATGACTGTCACCAGCCATAGGTCTGAGCAGCCAAAGTTGGATAAAGACTTTTCTTTTTTCAGTGAGGGGATTGGAGGATGAAGCAAGGCATTTATGTAAGAAAGACAGCCCTTCCCTGATACATATGGTATTAAATGAACTGAAACAACGAAAAACTACATTTGATGCACATACCACATTAAGACAAGGATTTTTCTGAGGGATTACACAAGGACCCTCTCCAGTTTTGCAATTTAAGATTAAGTATGTTTCCAAGTAAATACATCAGAGTTAAACTGTGCAGATCAGATGGTCAAGTTTAATATAGCGCAAAGCCCCAAGACAATAGTAATTTCCATTCTTATTGAATTATTTTCTCTGACCTCATCACCAGCATTGAATTGTTCTGCCTAAGAGCATGTTCTCATAGGTCTGGCTATTTGCAGTTTGCTTATATTGATGTCCTGCGAAAAATGATTTTGATGTCACATCTTTCATCAGGCCTCCAGCTTAAAAGAAGACACACGCAATTTGGAATGTGATTATTTCATCTTAGCCATGTGACTCCCCACAGTCAGCCTGAGAACCCATTAGTCCAGTGTGTGTTGGCAGAGAGGCGGGCCTCATTGGAAACACATGTCAGTGATTAACAAATCAATTTAAATTGCCTCGCTTGGGTCACTACAGCAAGGGAACGAGCTACTAAGCTATTTAAGCCCCCACCTTTCTATAGTCATTTCAGGTGTGAAGAAAGGGCCAGGTTGTTGCTAAGCAGGCAGGTATTCAATCATGGAGGAAGAGACCCCTTAAGGATAGTAAACATGCAAACACTGAAATAAGAGAAGACTACCAATGCAAGATGAAATGCCAAAGATCATTTTATTTCTTTAGCTACTCTCCTTAGAAATGGAGGTCCCAACTACCCAGTCACAGGAAATCAGATGAAAAATTAACAGATATCCTTACTCATGCCATGTTTTCCAAGACCAGCTGTGTATTTTTAGATATTGCTGATTTGTCCAGCTATTTGCATCACGTGGGCATTTATTAGAATGACCAATTGGTGCTCAATGTCAAATAAAACATATTTTAGTTGATAATCGAAAATAAAATATGGCTTCACATTTTAAATATTTGCAAGGGTTACTTTGTGAGCTGAACAATTCAAAAGAAAGAAGTGATTCAACTGGCCACAATTATCCTGACAGATAATAATTTTAATAGTTCTATTACATTTCTTTCTAATGTTTCAGCTTTTCCCTACTGGTAGCAAATAACAACAAAGTTAATTTTACATTCCACCATTAAAGAAATAAAATTGAAATATAATTAAAAATATTTCTCAACCACTTGCATCACAGTATAAATAAAACCAATTCATTTTGTGTAGACATTTCAAATCACAAAACAATAACACTGAAATGATTCCACCAATGCAATGACTGAAACACTTTTCTTACACACCAAGATGTAGGTAAGACACAGAAAGAATTAAAGTGAATTAGAAAATCCCTTTTATTACTTGAGTTTATAAAATAGTTGTGGATTCCAGGTAGTTAAAATATGATTGCCAACCCTTTGCAACAGTAATAATACCTCTGGCATTTCAATTGGAAATATTTACAATGCTACTGTAGTGACCTGACTTTAAATACCATATTACATTTACTAAGTTAAGAGCTAGGTTTTCTACTATTCCATAATCTCATTAAATGAATGTAAGGTGATGGTTCAGCAATGATGATTTCTAGTTTGTATTTCTTTATGTGTATGCAATATACTGACGAGAACCAAATTCAATGGTGACACGAATGTCACTCCATGAGCACTGGATTGTATTGCCCTTTGTCAGTCATTTCCTCTGTCCAATAAATTCTGAGGGACACAAATACTGTCTTATCTTTTATGAGTTTGATTTCTCTTTTTCATTTTGGTAATTAATTTGATAGTTTCCCTCTTGTGCCTCTTTGTTTTAGTAGGATTTCTGAACATTGGCAAAACAGAAGGAACAGGAGAAATATTTTTAAAATTTTTCTACTGAGGCCAATATCAATAAAGTCAAGGAAAAGGGGTCAATTTCTATGTTAAAGAAATTTAAAAAAAAACATTTATCTATCTATTTGAAAGAGCTACACAGAGAGAGAGAGAGAGAGAGAGAGAGATGGAGAGAGAGAGGCAGAGAGAGATCTGTCCACTCATTCACTCTCCAAATGCCCACAAAGGCAAGGGCTGGACCAGGCCAAAGCCAGTAGCTCCATCTAGGTCTCCCAAATGGGTGACAGGGACCCAAACACTGGGCCGTGTCCATTGCCTTTCCCAGGCCATCAGCAGGCAGCTGCATTGGAAGTGGGGCAGCCAGGACATGAACTGGCATCCATATGGGATGCCGATGTTAAAGGCAGCAGTCTTAACTGCTACACCACAAGGCCAGCCCCAAAGAAATATTTTTTCCCCATAGACTTATTTATTTATTTATTTGACAGGCAGAATTAGAGATAAAGGGAGAGAAAGAGAGACAGAGAGATCTTCTACCCACTGGTTCACTTCCCAAATGGTTCCAACAGCTGGGGCTGGGCCAAGTCGAAGCCAGGAGCTTCATCCTGGTCTCCCACATAGGTGCAGGGGCCCAAGTACTTGGGCCATCTTCTGCTGCTTTCCCAGGCACATTCACAGAGATCTGGATTGGAAGTGGAGCAGCTGGAACTCGAACCAGTGCCCACATGGGATGCTAGCATCAAAGGCAGTGACTTAACCCACTATGCCACAACATTGGCCCCATGAAATAGTCTTTAATGACATAAAGAAAGCCTCCTTAGTATTGGAACAAAAAGAAAGCACAGGTGTATTTTTCGACCTGTGAATGCAATCAGGTGATCTATGTGCCATTTTGGCATTTTTGTTCATATTGGCTTAGAATTCAGTGCCTGAATATCATTACATTCATAAACATGTCTAGTTAGCATGTTATTTTAAAAATACACAGTCAAATACATTACTGCTTTACTAAATCAGGGATTTGATTATCTTGGGATTGAGTGGGCAACACCATTTTCTATTGTGATTTTTAGGTCATGGGTAATATTAACAGTACATGTAGATAATTATTGTTCTTTCAAAGTGATGTTTCAAAGGCAGAAGTTCCTCGAGCCAGGGAGATAGAAGAGGAGAGCAATCTCCACCTCCTACACCCAGCATGAGGATCCTAGCATCCTTCATGACTTTCACTTTGTACCCTTAATGTTTTTACAAAGCTGTGGGGGTTATCTCCACGGCCAAATGCCCTCACATAGATTGACAGTAGGCAGGTGCCCTGGATTCCTAGGTCCTGCTCACAGACAGCAAAAAGGACAGGAGCCAGACACCCTAGCAGCGCCTATCTACCGAGTCCTCAGAGAACATCTTCTACGCATTTTACCCCCTCACAAACACAAGGCCTAATACTGGGCATTAAAAAATTTCTATTCAGTATTTTTATAATTCTCTGTAAAAATGATTCCATATCCTTTTTCAATGTTAAAAAAACTCCTCTTAGAAAGAACTATGATTTTTATAATATTTCCACCATTAGCATAATGAGGAAAAATTAAGATACTGGATCTCAACGCAGATAATAAGTAGGGATCAGCATAGTTCACAGGCATTGGATTGGTGTAATTATGTGTTCTCTTTTGTATTAGGAAAGTAAAATTGCTTTATTCAAGAGTGTCTTTTACTAAAAGAATTAAAAGAGGGAAATCTCAGTTTGCCAGGGAAGTTATCATTAAACAGCTAGAGATAAAGCATTTACATAGCTTGTCATTGAAATCCACAAAAAGTAGAGGTATATGATGACAAAACAGTTTGACTATCCTAGAAAAATATAACTACATAGAAAAATTCCAACTAAAGCAATATATTCACAGTTTCTACATATGCTCTCATTGTATGTTGATTTAGACCTGTTATTCTACATGGAAAGAATATCTTTGGCTGGCAAGGTAGAGGCTGTTAAATGTTCACCTTAGATATAGGCAGAAGGTCCGTGTTGTCACGCAGGTGTTTCCTAAATGAACTGTAATGAGGCAAATACTCTCTTTTGTGTCTTCAAACCCTAGGAGGAGGCATAAAATTGTCCAGGGAATGAAAAGTCTTGGTGTTTACACTTCTTTCTTCACATCCAAGGAGACACAGCCAAAAAGACAACCTCTCTGTAGTGGGTCCCAAGCCTGCATGAATTCCTGCTAAATTGCGGGAAGGCTGCGTCTCTGATGGGGGGTGAGCTCTGGGTGCCACACATCCACGATGAAAATCAGCCGGAAAGATGAGGCATCCTGCCACACTTCATGCTCAAAGGAGTCGTCAAAGATGAACACCTTGCCTTCCTCCCAGGTCCTGGAACAGAGAGACACAGATTCTAGAGTTCAGCTTTGTGTGGTTCAGCTGCCTGAGGTCAATTCCTGTCCGCATGCAGGAAGCCCTTTCTATAATCTTTGCGATATACCAGCTAACCAGAACGCCAAGCCAGAATTTATTCCTCCCCTGGTGACAAAGAAAGGACTTCAGGATTCTTAGCATAAACATTCATTTTTCATTGCTCCGCATTGAGGATGTACCAAGGGCAGGGGACTGGTGATGAGGGCCTACTGACAGCATCACAGGCACCACACTGGTGCTGGCTCTCACCCTCGGAGGGGCCTCCTTGATCAGCCCAGCACTGGAGCGCATGCCCTGGCAGTTCCTGCATGCAACAGCTCCTCAGTTAGGGACTCCACGGCCTTTTCCTCCGGGGTCTTTCAGAGATGAGTTTAGAACCACAGGTGGGGACCAGGTGTCAGGCATCTCAGTGCCTCTGAGGACACCTGGCAGGGGTTTGTGCATCACCAAGTGATTTTCCTTTCAGCTTACAAGTTCCATTTTATGGAATTGAGTCTTCACTTACACTCAGTGACCAGAAGGCATATAACCAAATTATGTGGTTCCAAGCTAGTATAACTGGTTGGGGAAAATGGGCAGATTGGGAATGGATTTTGTATATTTTTAGTGTCATCTGCTATGCAAGTGGGTTATCCATGGAATATTTTAAGTCAATGTTGCAAAACACTTTAGAGCCTCCAGCACTACCTCTCAAGAGATCTGGATGGTTACTTAGATCTAAATATAGTGTTAGTCTAAACAAAGCAATCAAGGCGGAAATATGCAGGAGGCAGTTACACCAGGTCTTTCAAATCCAAAGAAAGTTTATTAACTATATGACAATGCTCCCTTCCATTAAAAATAGATACTAATTGCTAATATCTTAAATGCTGTTATGTTTTTAAAATGAAATTTCCTTTATATTTTAAGATTCCACTTAAGCACTTGAAATTTTACATCTTGGATTAGCAAAATAGTTGCATTAGGGCATAGATATGCTAATGTGATTTCAAACTATCACTTTATCATAAAGACCTTTTTATTGGGAAAATGACTGATGTCCTTTTTATGTTTCTTATTAGGTGATAAATCAACATAAATCAAGCACAATGATGTATTGCAGGGCTTCTTGATCTCGGCACTACTGATGTGTGGGCCAGATCACTCTCTGTTGGACAGGCTCTCTCGTATACTGTAGCAACATCACCCACTAGATAGCAGTAGGACAGGACCTGCACACCAGTGTGACTTCCTCAGTCACTGCCAAAAGGCCCGGGGTGGGGGTGGGGGCAAAATCATCCCAGTGGAGAATAACTGACAAAGTGTGTGATTTCGACAATAAACTTCCAACTTGTTTAAAGTGACTGATAAAGTAATTCACATTTACAAGTTAAAAGCTCATTAAAGCAATACTTCTGCTACTCACCCATACAACACCCCTGCCCCTGCCCCACCTGGCCCTGCCCTTTGTGCTGTCACACATCTAACCTAATGTCTTACATTCAATAAAAAAGAAGTGTTGCTTGGGTCTTTACCTTCCTCTGAAGGTTTACAAGAGTTCCATTAGAATTCTATCCAAAGGTAACAAAGGACAGAAAACAGAGATTTAGGAGCAAATGACCGAAGAGGCATTCATCATGATGCAAAATCAAACTTAAAGAAAGGCAACACCAAGAAAAGAAAAGAAAAGAAAAGAAAAAGAGAAAAGGAAGAAAAAAGTGTTCTTAGAGGGCTTAAGCATTGCTAGTGTGTCACAGACAAGCCTACAACATAGGCAGAATATAGGAAGGGAAAAGTACACCTGTGTTTATAGCAGCCCTATCCACAGCAGTGGAAAGGTGGAAGCGACCCATGTGTCCCTCAATGAAGAAATGGATAAACCAAGTGTGGTGTATTTATTTGCACAGTGGGATATTATTCAGTCCTAAAAAGGAATGAATGTTTTTTAAAATAATTGATTTGAAAGGCAGAGATACAGAGAAAGAGAGAGGAGAGATAAAGAGAGAGCTCTTCCATTTCCTGGTTCACTCTCCAAATGGCTGCAATGGCCAGAGCTGGGCTGCTCTGAAGCCAGGAGCCAGGAGCTCCATCTGGGTCTCCCATGTGAGTGAGTGCAGGGGCCCAGGGACTTGGGCCATCCATCACTCCCTTCTCAGGTGCTAATAAACCTGGGAAAGTAGCAGAAGATGGCCCAAGTGCTTATGCCCCTGACAATCATGTAGGAGACTCCGATGAAGCTCCCAGCTCCTGGCTTCAGTCTGGTCCAGCCCAGGCCACTGGGGCCATTTGTGGAGTGAACCAGTGGATAGAAGATCTCTCTCTCTGTCTCTCCTCTCCAACCCCTGTAGCTCTGCTTTTAAAACAAACAAATGAATCTTTAAAACACATGCACACAAGTTAAGATAGCAATTTTTGTACTATGTATTTCACTATAAATTACACAAGGAAAACAGAGGAAAGGTAAAGGGGAGCATGTGGCAGAAGACACCACGGTGGT